GGGTGTCGCAAACAGTGGCGCTCGTGCATCCACTCGTTATTTTCCTAACACCACTCTTTATGTATTCCCCATCTTCCGCTTGAATTTGCTTCGACATTCCAATCTTCATTTCGCTATTTTATCCAAATGGACAACCAAAAAACAGCAACCAAAACCCGCGCACGAAAGTGCATGGTTAATGGTTGTAACAACTGATTTTTACCAGCGGTAATGGTACATTTTATACCTTTTTTGTAAAGCAGTTTGATAATGACCATTAGTAATAACCAATGTGCTTATATTCTCTACGTTCAAAACAGTTGTTCGCTCTTGCGTCACGATCGCGACTCGGTTCTCTTGAACTACACAGCGGAACAATTCGACAGTTGGAGTTCGCGGTCGCGACTCAGGAGGACAGTTTTAGCCATTTATTCAGTATCAGTGACGATTGTTCTATCGCTATATGGCGAAGACCTGTGGACAATGACAGTGCCAAATCAGCTTCACCGAAACATTGGGAATGCATCCGTGTGATGCGTCGACACAAAGGTCCCGTGCGTAGTTTGGCTTTACATCCAACCAATCGATGTGCCTTTTCCATTAGCGAGGACAAAACTTTGCGTATATGGAACTTGCTCCGTGGTCGACAAGCCTACGCAACACGATTGAAAGTGGTGGCAGAAGGAGCGGAAGAAGTAAGATGTTCTCCCAGTGGCCAAAGACTCTTGTTCATTTGGCCTAACCGATTCGATGTAGTTGATTTGAGTGTTGGAGATCGACAATCAAATGAAACCGAGACCGGCAAGCCCATAGGATTACGATTGGGTAGCGTTCAATTCGAGCAGCCGATGTCGGCAACGCCTGTATTCTTCAGTGAAGATGATTTTGACCCGTTCACTGACCAACCGGAATCTTCATCAGACGACGCATCACTGTTCGTTTTCCTTTTGGCCGGGATTGGCCCGTTTGTAAAAGCCTTTCGCTGTCCACTTCCACAAACCTTCAAATGCAAGGGTGGTCATGCGGAAAACCTGGGTCAAATCAAACTACCGGGAAAACGCATTAAGGAGTTGCGCGTGCTTCCTTCCCCTGAAGAGCTACTGACAAACACTCGCAGGCATCGTCTTGTGATTGCTGCCACAACAGATGCTACTGGCAGCCACATCCGAGGTTACATTGTCAACTTGGATGCTTTTAAACACGTGGAGACGGGCGATTCATTTTTACCTCTGTTCATGTATGATATACCTGGAGCTCGGGTGACCTCCTTGGCTGTTGAGTGGACAAATAGCAATTCAGAACCAACGGATGATGCGGAGGTTGTATGACTAAATTTGTGCTTGAAAATAGATGCGACTGACTAACGTTGGATTGTCCTCATTGTATATATTCAGGCTGAATAATCATTTCCTGCTGTGTTCACGGTGTCTTTTATTGAGACTTCATTGTTGTTTTGTTCTGTGAGGACGAGATTCTGTTGAATATTCTTTTTTTCTAGCATTATTTTCATTTTCGCCAAAGCCGGAATTCTAGAACTGTTATTTGTTAATTTTGGGTCGTTTTATGTTTTGGGTATCACATACACTTCTTGAGCACCGCGTTACAACGAATAGGTCTCAACGACAAACATATATACCAGTAAAGTGAACTGGTAAGTTATTGGGCGTTTGGTTACGATGTTAGGACTTTTGACGTACCTAAGAGATAGGACAAGGTGCATGCGTGTCCTACAATTGACGCCCATCTGCTGGTCCTAAGAGCTTTGGATTGTGATTGCTATGGATGTCGATCGAATTCGTGTGACACTTTGTCGTCCAATTTCTTCCACTCATTGCGTGAAATTACGAGGGCTGACTTAAACGTTTCCGGATATGCATTACACATACGGGGTGCACATTACCGGGCAAGGAAAACGTGAACTGTGATCTATGGTAAATATTTTTCACTGACTGCAACTCATTGAGCCAAATCAACAGTCGAGCACAGCTCACAAATTAAAATGGTCGCTATACTCTGACTAAAAGGATGGAATTCTGTTGATATCACTGGAGCGCGATGATTTTCTACAACTCCACGTTTGATTCAATGCAGCAGCAGCATGTTGATCATTTGCGAGCTGCCTTTGGTGATGACGCGCCTTCGAGAAGCACTGTGTTTGAGTGGTTTGCGGAATTTAAGCGTAACAGACGGTCTTGAATGATGAGACACGATGTGGAGGCCATCAACCCATTAACATTACTGCTGTGCAATTGATTGTGGAGGAGGATGCGCAGGTGACTGTAGTTTAGGTGGCGAAAGCTATCGGAATGAATCCAACACAAGAAGCCCTCACTAAGGTTTGCGCAAGCTGGGTACCCCATCATCTCTGTGAAGTAGAGAAAACAGTTCAGGTGGATTGGTGCCGCACAATGCGTACCAGGTTTGACGGTGGACGTTCCGATACAATTTCGGACATCATCAGTGGTGATGATACTTGGATGTACAGTTTCGACCCAGATACCAGGCAACAATCGCCTCAGTGAACGCCAGTTGGTGGGATGCTGCCTCAGAAATTCAGACGCGAGCGTAGTGTGGCAAATCAGATGGTGGTTGCGTTCATGACCGAAGCTTTGGTGACGATTGGGATCGAATTTATCCCACAGTGGTTTTCGCAATTGTTGCGGGATCCTTTCTTAAAAATGGGAACCATCAGTGATTCGCCACAAGATGAAGGAATGCGCTCTTGCATCCAAATGTTGCGCAGTAGCGTGGTAATAGAGGTTACGAGGTTATCACCTCCCATCTTGAAAAGGGTGGAAGGGGGCTCATCAGGTCCTGTTGTCTTTCCCCGCTTCAGAGCTTGAATGCAAGACCGAAATTCTGCTTCCATTGGAGGATCGCATGACACTGCCCATGGAGCTTCAGTCGGAAATGAAGCAGCCTGGTTAGCACTAGGTCAGCTGAACTGTTCGCTGAAGTATTCTGCCCAGCGGTCGAGTCGTTGATCTCTATTGTGATTAGCTCGTACCCTCTTATCGCAAACTGTTTCACTAGCTGAGGTTCGCCGACCTCCCGTATTGCGTATCAGTCGGAACAGTCTGACTATTCCCTGAGGCAGCCGCTACTTCCATTTCCCTAGCTACTGTTGTCCACCAGTTCCCACAGTCCTTGAGCCGACGTTGTAGCTGCCACCTAACTCTATTGTGATCCTGGCAGGTCGGGACTTGCCGATTTTGCTCCATCAGGGCTACTGACTCCAGAGATATCCAATGCCTCCGATGGGTTTGAGGCTCTGATCCACAAGCAACATTCGCTGCAGAATGAATTGCTCACCTAATCTGATCCCACAGCTCGTCCACATCACCACGCTGAAGCGCACTTAGCTTACGCATTAGCTCTGACTCATAGAGTGCATGAACTGCTGGAGCAAATAGTCGTGGATGAGCTATCCGAATTTGCTGGTTTTTTCGCCGGTCAGTCAGTCGGAGAGTGAACTGCATCAGAACTAATGCGTGGTCAAACTAAACGCATGTGCTCCAATAGGACCTGCAATTTTGCATTGAGCCACGCCAACGGTCGCTTACTGTTATGTGGTCGATTTGAGTTAGCGTACCGGTTGAACTGAAGAGCCACGTTGCCGTCCATCGAGAGCTGTGTCGGAAGTTGGTGCTTGATAGGAACAGATGATGGTCTGCGCAGAACTGAAGAAGTCGTTATCTGTTCGTTGGCAGGTCTTAGCACAACTACCGCCTAAGCAAGCTTCTGATGCGCTCAGTTTTCCAACCTGCGCGTTGAAGTCACTTGTGAGTACAACTGTGTCGGAGCTTCGACTCATCCGAATGAGATCGGTGAGTTCATCATATAAAGCGTTCTTTTGGGTATCAGAACTGCAATTACTCGGTGCATATGCTGATACAATGAACAAACGCCTTTTGGTGTTGCTTCCCTTCCGGACGTCGATTGAACTCTGGAGACGCAGGGCACATAAACGACTGTTGACGGGGATCCAATTGATAAGAGAGAACTCCACCCTGTTGCTAAGTACAATAAGTACCCCGCGCTGACCTACTGAACGAGCATCATTGTCGCCTGATGTGCGAAGAACGTAACTCGTCAGAAAGTCTGGCGCGCTCAAGTGGATTACAGTAGTAGGATCCTGGATTCGAG